AATAGATGGGTCATGGAAACAAACGAAGATAGTAGTGGTTTTTGAGAGCATCTGCACTGAGAAATGAAAGGCAAAGCATGAACACCGACATCCATTTTAGATTTAGCACTTGAAAAAGAGGAGGAGGAGGAGGAGGAGGAGAAAAAGAAGAAGAAGAAGAACAAGTAGGAGAAGAAGAAGATTCTTGTATTCAGCACGGTGTACCATATGTCTGAAGGGAAGAAAACAATCCGTCTAACAAAACGTACCAAAAAGCTTCCCGTGTTGGACCACTGACTAGCGTTGATCCAGTCTGCGTGACAGTCGTGCAAGATGTTCAAGGGAGCCGCATCGTCAGACATGAACACGTCACTCATGGAGTACACTCGCACGCTCTGTACAGATAATACGAGTACAATGTGGTAAAAGATCAGTTAAAAAAAAAAAAACCAAAAACCCCAACCAAAAACATCGTAAGATATTTTTCTACTAAGAAATTATTAACGCTTCAAAACGTCCCAACAATTTGAGCAAATTTTAAGCATTTTCCTTGTTGTGTATAAGTTTTGTCTGATGTGTTTTTATAATATTGTACTTTCTAGGGTAATAGTAATAGTCTCTGTTATAATAGTAATGCATGTATTGAAGAAGGATGTGTGCCCTAAAAATCATGCGTACTTTTATTACAGTCAGGTAGTGCCCCCCTTAAGGCACAAGCCACTTCACTATTCATGAAGGATGAAGGAAAAAAACTGGAAAGACCAGCAAAAAAGACAAAATTGTCTTAACTCTTTATCTCCGAGGGGGATAAACCCACTATGTCGGGGCCCTCTTTTGGAGTGGTGTCTCAAATTGACATATACACCACTAAATTAGTCATTAAATCAAAACAAGTGAACCTATTTCGATAGTTCTTCATCTAATGAATGAACTCCTGGTAAAAAAGACTTGTTTGTGGCAATTTTGGATATCTCGGTCAGCTCCCGGGCAGCGTTCAATCCCACAACCGAGATAACTCGGTTCTATAGTTTTGTTCCATATACTAGTTATTTTGTTTTGGAAAACAGCCTCAAGTTTTATATAAGGTCAATAAATTATTTCCTTAGCCTATTCTGCCAAGGGAGGTGCTGGAATTTTGTTTCTACTGTCATTGCACTGGAGAAATCGTGGTTTGAATAAAGGCACTTTCAGCACTTTTGTTCACACTGATCAGGTGAGCATGTCTCGCATTCGATTCTCTCTGCCTTTTTCACACATATATTTTTTTAATTCAGGAAAGTAATCAACCGTCTTTATTATACATGACATACAATATATATAGATCTAGACACTCAGAAGAATACATTTGAATATCAATCTAGGCTAGATCTTGCTCATTCGGCCATGAAAATAAAATAAGCTAACCTCCCAAAAATGCCAAATTTGTACAACACCCCAAAGCAAAACTACTAAAGCTACATACTTCAAATTTGGTATGTCTAAAGACCCATCTTAGATTGTACTTTAAAATTATGCCAATTTCAAAGCAATTGGATGATATTTATGGTTACTAGTGGGCCCTTACATAAGTGCCAAAACGACCGGTTTCTGGGTACGACTTCGGGAAAAACTCCAGGGATTGAGTGAGTTAGATAACATACAGATTTTTAAAAATCTTTTGAAAAAGAGATGTCTTTATGTGTTGCATCTACTACGGGACATACCGCATCTCTGCTGGCTGTGATGATCATTGTCTCGTCGCTGTTGAATGAGCAGGACGTGACTGGGGCGATGTGTCCTTTCAGGATCCGTGTTGGCTTGGACCTTAGAGGGGAACGAGAAATGGGTTAATCTCTACAGTCCTGTTCAATATGCAACAATCATGTTCAAATCATTAAAACCAAGCTAAATTCACTACAGTCATGTTAACAATGCAATAACCATTTTCAATAGGCTAGCTACAATCATTTTCAATATACTATAATCATTTCAGAAGTGAGACAAAACCATAGGGCAGAACACTAGATTTTAAGATGAGATGACCTGTACGGATACATTAATGGAGAAAACTTAATGGTAAGTGTAGAGGTATACAGAAATAGCGTTTAAATAATCTAAACTTTACAACCCTTTCCCATAAAATACAGTCTCTTCAGAGGAAGAACTAGGCCACTGAAAGAGCATTATACAACAGTCCAAAACATAATCTCATTATCAATCAAGCCCCTTTTCTTAAAAAAGAACCGCCCTTTTACACATGTCAAACCTTCCAACGTAATAATAAATAGTAAATTTCAGTTAAACAGCACAGTGATTGTACACCTCAACTGACACAATTCAGACCATTAACGAGGTAGGCTGCTCAGGCCCTGTCAGGAGCCTCCAAGTAAAATAAATCAAACTGACATCTTCTTCATGCAACAGTGATGATCTGAGCCTAGCTATAATTATCAGCTATATCACCACAGGCACCATTAAAAAAATCTCCAAAAACCGAAATGCAAACAAAGGTAGATGGAGAGCGCTGTGGACTTACTCTCTCTGACTTTTCAGCTGTCTGATGTTCTCGTAGATGCAGCAGGTGAAATCCTCGCCACAGCTGGCCACGTAGCTCTTGCTGGTGGTCACACACAGGATCGGCTTGCTGTGGCCAATCAGGGAGCACACTCGAGAGCCCTGAGTACTCTCCAAAATCTGGGGAGCACACAAACACTTCGTATAACACATACTGTCCTAGCTCTCATGTGAACTTATGTTGCTGCGGGCGCCATAAAACTCTTACGAAACGGAAAAAAAATACTGACTCAGCTAAATGTCTCATCCGTTTTAAAAAAATGCATTATCCCCTTAGGCAAAGCAGAATATAAAGAATGATTGGGGGAGGTGTGCTGTGACTGTATTGGCTTTTCTTAACCAAGACTTTAAACCCTTCAGCCCCAGCTATCTCAATCAAAGATGACTATTTTGACTAATCTATCTGAATGTTTTTTCTGAATGTTTTTCAAAAACATTAGACATGTTGTCATCTAAAAGTTCAAATAAAACCAGCCTAGAAATATTTCTTTAATGTTTGCCAAAAATTGCAGACTAATGCAGTATTGGCTGAACCTGAGGAGTCAGGCCAGAAAGAAGTTACAGTTAAAAAAATAGCCCGGCGCTGTACCGGTAGACCTGAGAAGACAAACACACTGACACACACACACACAAATGCACACATACAAACACACACATACAAACATACACACAAGGTACACACCTGCACTTTGTTGTCATCACAGCCTGCAAGGATGTAGCCACCATCCTGGGAGTAACACAGAGCCCGCACAGCGCAAGGACACAGCTTTATCTCCACCATTTTTACACCTGGTCCACAAAGGAACAAACAAAAATACAATTTAACACATATAAACTATTATCTGATAAATGAAAATTTCAGATATGAATAGTAGTTCTAATTTAATTGTAATAAAAAGATATGCAATGGGTATCCATTCACATGTTACCATAGTAGGCAGAAGATATGAGGTCTTTTATTTTTGTTCAAAAATTTTTTAGAGTAGGAGCAAGCTAACTTAAGCTATAAATCATGCGTTAGGAAAAAGACCTTGTGCCATTATCCAAAAGATATTTCCATGCTTTTTTCTTTGTATATGTAAGTGATGTACAAAACGGTTTCAAATATAAATCTGGTGGCAGTGGTCAATTAGTGGTTACGCCCTTATACGCCATGAATGTAAGGTCGTGGGGTCAAATCCCATCAGGGGCCCAGGCACTTTACACTATGTCCTAAGTGTAGGTATTTAGGTATTAGACTCTTCGCTGATGCATACACAAGAAGTCAGTTTGGTCGAGTTTTTCTGTTTGTCTGCTGGGATATTGTATCCCATTCAGCCACAGTTGGTCCTGACCAGCAGAATCCAAGCAGCCTGCTTCCTTTATCTATGTCATTCATTACCATGGTAACTTAAAACATTACAAACAAAACTGATCAAAGTGAAAAATCAACAAACGCTCTTCGACTTACCTGTGTTGACATCGTAGATGCGAACCTGACCCAAGTGGTACCCCACGGCCAACATGAGGCCTGAGGGTGAGATACACACTGAAGTGGCAGCGCCATTGTTCTGTGTGTCTAGTCTGTGAACTGGGATGCCCAGGTCTCCAGACCACACCTGAGAGAACAAGATGATAAGGTGTAGCTTATAACAAGTTAACACAATAATGGCTACATTTCACCGATTGATTGATTTTCCTGTTCGTAAGAATTTTATGGCACTTGCAACACAAATAGGTCATTTGTAAGTGCTGAAGATTACAGGTGTTATGAGACAGTAACATACAAAGAAAAGGAGCGATAAGGATGACAGCTATTTCACAGGCAAGAAAAGAAACAGATCTGATTGAGTGATTGACTGATAGAGTAAAGCTTCTCTGAAACTTTATCAGCACGATCAGATATCTAGCTGATGAAATGGTCCTAATTTTACAGTTCTTGTGCTGAAACCAGTATGGGCCTATCATGCCCTTTACTAAAATGCTTTTTAAGAAGTAAGTTTTGCAATTTACTCAATTTTGATTGGGATTTTAAAAATTTGATATTTCTTAAACAAGCGAATTCATTTTCTTACAATGAGAGATTTGATTAAATTTGTACCAAGATGATTTGAGTTATTACTCATTACATGGGCTCCTTTTTTTAGACACCCTGTAGAAGGAGCAGAAAAAGTTGAAAGATGCTGTGAGACTTGAGAGCTATTTAAAGACCGTACATGTTTTTTTAAAGATATTACATATACTCCCTGACAGGAAACACACACTCAAGAACGCACACTCTGTTTTGTTTAGTATAGGGTTTTACGGCGCTCGCAACTGCATAAGGTCATATGAGCGCGCGGGACACACCTAATACTTTTTCGTTGGTAAGAAATTTTGAATTTTGCCC